TCGCTAAAGGCTCAGATGACAGTTAGCATTTTGGGGCAGTGAAGTATTTTTTAATTAAAGTGTGTATGTTTTTTTTGACATAATACTGTTGCACACTTAATAGACTAAAGTAGGCTCTAAACATAACTTTTATATGCACTTGGAAACCAAAAAATTTGCATTACTCGCATTATTGTGGTATTTGCTTCATTGTGGTGGTCTGGAACTGAACCTGAAATATCTCTGAGGGATGGCTGTTTAGGACAAGTTCATATATGCATATAATTGAGTTTCTTTTGTGTTTATTCCATTGTATCTAAAAATATATTGAACATTGTCTTTTTAAAAGACATATGCATACATCAATAAAGCAAATATTCTTTAGGGAATTTATTTTAAAAATCACAAGGGAGCTTCAGTGGTTAAAAGAGAATGCTTTTAGGATTCCTAAATAGAGGCCACTGGACTGACATTATCTATAACTGTGTTTATGTTTTCCTTTGTGGTGTCACTGTATTAGAAAGCAATATTTTCAAAAACTGTAACTGCTTGCCAGAGTGCTCAAAATGTTTATGTGTTTATAGATGTAAATTTTTATCTTAGTCCTTCTTAGGTAAGCCATTCTTCCTTTGGTAACAAGAAGATATGCAGGATTAATCCTTCAAGAGATTTCTCATCCTGACACGAGATCTTAGAGTTTAGCAGATGCTACCAGCATTTTTGATGCTGAAGTACAGTGTTTTCCACTAATGAATGAAAAATGGCCATCTTTAAAAAGAAAAGGGATCCTGGGACAGGGACAAAAATTAGAGGAAGCACTACTTTTGTGGAACCTGGCCTTTGGAACCTGTCATTTTTGTTTGATTGGGTCAAAACAGGCAGAAAGGAGGGGAGGCTTTTAGTGGAAAAAATAACATTATCTAAACATTTGTTGAATACTGTTATTAAGAATCATCTCTAATGCTGTGTACTCCTAGTTCACCATTTCTTAATGCAGTTGCCACTGCCCTACAGACCCCAGCCTGATTTGCAAGGCATCTTAGATGACTCACAATTGTTTGGCTTCCAAAGTCCCCAAGAAATCAGTCACAACTATCTTTTAGCCCAAACAACATTGCATTCTTTATTCCTACACCATGGTGGTTCCTAATATCAGGAAGCTAAAAAAGCAACTGCAAAACTTAGGCTCCCTGGGGCCAGCCTGGTGGCATAGTGGTTAGGTTCACATGCTCTGCTTCAGCAGCCTGGGTTCACAGGTTCAGATCCCGGGCGTGGACATAGCATCACTTGTCAAGCCATGCTGTAGCGGCATCCCACGTAAAGTAGAGGCAGATTGGCAACAGATGTTAGCTCAGAGCCAATCTTCCTCACACACAAAAACACAAGCTATAACTCCCCAAAACTCTCTTTGGAAAGCAGGCTGTTTATCCTATTTAAACTCTTCTGCTACGAGTGCTTCCCTCCCCCCAGCCAAGAGAAGTCCTCCCTTGGAGTAGACTGAGTTCCCAGAGACTGTTCTAAAATTCATGTTTTACTCTGCCTTCCCCAATATATAAAATTCATTCCTATACATCTCCTCCTTATCATGAGGGAGTTATGGAAACTACACAACTGGGGATTTTTATGAGGCTGGGTGGTTATGATTTGAAAGGCCAGAGAGAGTTTTTGAGAGGAATTATTGAATGTGTTTTCTGACTCTCCTATCTGATCTGTCTAGCTCATGTACACTCACCGTATAGCAGACACTAGACTAAGCATCACGTGAACAGTGGCAGACAACAAAGATGTGTCCTCTCTTTGTGCATTGACATCTACAAGCAGTCATGGTAAAAGGGCTCAAAACAAAGCTTTGCTGATTTCCATTGTGTAAATACTTCCACCTTGGCCTATTTAACCTATAATGTGAGGTCAGCTAGTTCACAAAATTCCTGAAAATTTAAAAATTGGCTTTTGTGAGCAGCTACAGGCTGGCTCTGAAAAGGGAAAGATCTCAGTGTGCAGAAGGGTGTTCAGCAGATGGGGGCGGGTACCAGAGGGCTTCCTTGCTGGGGGTGCCCGAGAAGTCCCAGAAATGAGGAAACAGCAATATTTCTTCTTGTCCCTCAGCGTTTTATTTTTTCTTTTGGTAATGGAAAGGTAACCCAAAGAAATTCTGCTTTTTGACACAATTCATCCATATTCTCTGCACACCCAGATGGAAAGCAGGTGACTTGTAACCTAACCCTGCCCACATAGTTGCCACCTCCAGTTCCCACTTCCGCCTTCTACTAAACGGAACGAGAATTCGAGCAGTTCTGCTCTAAAATTTATAACTTTTTTGACGTTTTCTTCAAAACAAACAAAAATGTAAAGATTCAAAGGTGGAATGTTTAACTACCTATACATTATTTATTAAATGTTAACTTATGCTAAGGATATTTAATTTGTTTGTAAGTTCTGTTTAATATCTTCTCTAAATATTGTTTGTAACTTCGGAAGAATACCATCTTTAAATCAGTCATTAAATGGGCAAAGGGCTCCTCCTTTTTCTAGAGTTTCTCATTCCAATATGGATAAGCAGGAATATGTTGATTATGGGTCATGAACCATGGGCCATGGCATAGGAATAGCTTAGTTATCTAGAATTAAAATGGTATTTGATAAAGTGGGTTTCTCCCTGAGACGTTAGAATGAAACTGAACATTAATGTCTGACATTAGAGTCAGGGAGCTGAGATGCACGTTGTTTTTGGCTCTGTCTCAACTCTTCTGTGTCACTGCTAGAGTGAGTTTTCATATATACTCTTGCCTAAATGGTTATGACACCATCTGATCTGCTTTTATCTTGTAGTTTATTTTTTTTCACTTTTTTTGCATGTACCTGACCTGATATGACTTGTATGTTATGTGGTTAGTAGAACCTCTCTGTTCGGTAAAGCTACCTTTGGTAAGCTCCGGCTGGTATGATCACTTCTTAAATTGAATTTCCGCGGCAACAGTTGTCACTTTAAATGTATAACTTAAAGTGCTTATTATTTGCCAGATGGTCATTTGTCATTTAACGCCTGCCACTTTAATTAAAATACTCCTCTATGTACATGTGTTCCTCATCCTCTCCCCCATTCAAAGTATCATCGTTTAATAATTACAGCGATAAGTTCACTGTATTAACTGCCCGCTATCACTTTCAGATGAATCCTCTCATTTAGCCCCATGGCTGTACGGTAAGGCTGTGTCTGTCTAGCTTACTGTTTTTCACCCATACCTAAAACTAACCAGGACAGAAGAACGCTAGATCAATTCTTGTTAGTGAGCACCTAATTCTCTATCATATGGAATCCATGCCTCATACATATGAAAGAGCAAACTAGTGAACACAGTGATTAGTAAAATCCAAGTCCATGTAGCTAGTTAAGAGGCAGAACCAGAATTCAAATCCAGATCTGTCTACCTCCAAAAAATAAGCATTTAATTTTAGGCTGCTCTGGCTCCCATATGATGGAAAGAACTACGATAAAGAGGAAGGCACAATTTGCAGCAAATAAAAGGTGCTTAATAAACTTTTTTTGTTCAAAGAGACTATGCAGTACTCATTTAGTACTCATGTTATTCTTCTGATTGCTGTTCACCTCTCTATCCCCAATCACTTGCATAGCATCTGGGACTGAGTAGGCACTAAAGGAGATTTGTTGATTGATAGGTGCCTCTTTGTTTCTCTAGCATGTGGCTCAAAGTAATGGCTAAGTACATCAGGTGTGTATATATGTGTGCTTTTTAGGTTAATGAAAGTTGCACCTCTGAGTTTTACTTATCCAACTTTCATGAGATATGAATTTTTTCCATCCTTGTTTATTGACATATTTTTGTATTGTCCATACAGGAACATGCTGGCTAAGGACTGCCATGGGCAGTTCCAGGGGCAATATTGGCTAAAAGATGAGCAGTGATTTAATGGCCTTTCAGATCTTTCACAGAATTACAACCTTGTGTTTAGCTTCCAAACACAGGTGAATTATAAAAAATTGCATCAGTAAATTAGCAGCAGAGAGCCAGTTTTTCTGCCTTCCAAGCTAATGTCCTGACCATGCCTGCCTTATGTTTTGTTTCTCCTTTATTAAAGTGGCAAATTATCTATTACTTTTTGCCAACTTTAAAATACTACAGCCGTTAAATAGACATACAGCTTTTACATGCTGAAAATGACACAAGCTACTCCCGCTCCGGACCTGACAACAGTAACAGCAGTCTTCACACTTTATGCGTCTTCTGTCCTGGCCTCCTTTCCTCCTCCTCCTTGCTCAGAGACCTCGGGGACTGTCACTCACTGGCTGAACGTCAGATGCCCAAGGTACTGCCACCTGGCCTCCTTGGAGCATTTCCTTCTTCCCTTTCCAGCATCAAAACTCCAACCACCTTGTCTGAAGTCTTGTTGTTTGCCAAGGAAAAGAATAAACCCAGTTTAGGTTTAATTTAAGCTAAGGTTTAGTGACTTGTTATAGTTCCATGTTTGCCAAAGCATAGTTTTCAAAATAAATTTTAAGCTGCATAGTAACGACTTAAAAATTTTTAATAGATATGACCTTGTTTTAATGTCTGCTAGAAAAAACATAACCAGCACACTAAACTTGCTTTTAGGTTAACGTTATTTTGGCAAATGCTATCTTTTTAAGAAAGAGTGCAATCTTAAAAAATATTAAATAAGTAGTCTGTGGCTTTGGCAAAATATATATATGATTAAACTTTGAGAAACAATGCCATATTGTAACTTGTCTAATCACTTCTCAGATGACAATTGTCGTTTGTCTAGCACCTAAGGAGTCTGACACTCAAGCCAGTTATTTTACAGTCAGCCGGCATCTTCACCATTTTTCAGGGAAGTAAATAGGCCTTATTATTACCATTTTATAGATAAAGATTCTGAAACCTTGATTATTGGTGCAGTAATATGAGGTCAGAAGTAGAAGTGGGTCTTCATGTCTGGGATCCTGACTACAAGTCATGTTGTCTTCACAAAATGAAAGAAATATGAATGCCTTCACTTACCTTGGTTTCAAACACGAGGCGTTGTGTGTTGGTTTTTCATAGTCTTGAAAAAGGGAAGATTGTTACCAAACCCAGGTTGGTTTTTGCCCGTCACCCGGAAAGCCAAAAACCAAGAGGACAAGATTGTATCAGAGAGAGGGTTTTAATCACAAGGCAGCCAAGTGAGCAAGTGAGAGAATGAATCTCAAATCTGCTTCCCCGAAAACAGGGACTCAGGGATATGTATGGGATGGGGGCAAGGTGGTCTGAAATGTGGAGAGAGGTGCTTGGAGGTGAGGAGAGGTGAGGCAGTTGGTGATCTGCACAAGCGTAGTCAGACTTCGTGGCTCTTCATATGACACATGCTCACAAAATGGTGACGTTAATATGATCTAAGGGTGGAGCTTTTAGCCTCTTGACATCAAAAGGTCATTTATTGGACATCTGTGTGGGCCCAGTTGATGGATTGGTGGTCTTAACCAGCCTGAAGTGGACAAGGGGTTCTAATTCCTGAAAAACAGCTCACACACCCATTATGATGGAGACCCAGGCTCCCGGGAGATGTTGTCTATAGGAGCCTGGTGGGGGTCAGATAGCATATTGCCTAAACGGCACAGTTAACTTTGGGCAGGGGGACAACTAAAAGCTGTAATCAGTAATTGCAAAAAGGAAAAGAACTTTAGTTACTAGCTAGTTAATCATCAATGGCTAACGGTTTGCCCGTGTCAAGGTTAAGAGGGGAAAGGAAATGTTGGGTACCTTCACTAATGCCAATTTTTCTTATAAATTCATACTGGCCACGCTGTTGGTTTAGCTGTGGGGCTTCCAAAGTGCTTGGAGGATTTGCTGTTAAGACGTTCAACCCTTTCTAACCAGTCTTGCCAGGGACCTTCGTTTCTAGAGGCATGTGCTCCTGGACTGGGAGGGTTCTGAGATTGCCTGATCCAGATGTTCTTAGCCGGGTGTCCAGGGGGCTCTCAGGGGCCCCCACATCAGCTCCAGGGGATCCATGAACTCTTTGAAATTGTATGCATAATTATATAAATTGTAAGCATGTGTTTTTTTCTCAGGATATTGCCTATTACCAAAGAAGGATTAAAAACTACTGGTTTTGTCTTGACTTATTCTTCTACAGTTTAGGAAACTAAACTACTAACACTGGAAAAACCTATACAAGTACCAATAGCGAGGGCCATAGTCTTGAACGACATCCATGGGGACCTCAGAGAGTTCATCTTTCTCTCTATCTCTTTATAAATATCTAACTTTTAACAACAAGAGTAACTCTGGTACTGGAAAGAACTAAGCTTGTGGTAAAATAGGCATTAAAATTCTGTGACATATTTTCAATGCCAGCTTTCCAAAATTTCCAACATGACCTGATTCATTTTTACTCTGAGTAGGTTATTTGTAGCCAGTGTGATAAGGTCATCTGCTTTATGATATTAGCAAAAATAGCTGGTTGAGAATCCTTCTCCCTCTTGCTGGGTCTTAAGAGATTCTTGTCTTACTGATAGAGCTTTTAGGGAGAAGGAAAAAAGAACATAGGACTGCTAGGTCATGAAAAAGAATTTTCTGCAAATGTGAGGAACACAGCATAGGGCTCATCTTTTCCGCAGGAACCGATACATTTCTCATCAGATCAAATCCATCTTGGTGTGCAGGTTGTGGGGAATTTTATTCTCTGCCTTCTTAGAGTATGTGATTAATGATAAACACCTAATAGTTTATAGAGTAGTTTGCCTCAGAGCATATGTGAATTTTCCTAACTTCCGTGTATGGTCAAGGACACCATTGATGATACTAAGCAGTTATTCAGTGCCAGAAACTTTGATACCAGGATCTGGAGGTCTGCCATTTCAAGTTAAATATTCAAGTGAAACAGTAGCCTTTGACCAGGGCAATGTTCTGGGCCATTAGCATGTTTCAGAGTTATTTTTTTCCTGTTCTATATTTTGACTTGAACTTTTTACTTCACATTTGCAAAAATGCAAATGAATTCAACCTGTCCTTGTATAATTTGACCTTTCCGTGTTGCGCTTCCCCTTCTTTTTGGGCATCTGCCTACCTTTCATTTATTATGAATACAGAGCCAAAAGAAGGGAGTATCTTAATATTTCAAGTACATTTACTACCAAGGTGTCCTAAAAATATCTTGGCAGACTGGCTGTTTGGCTTATTCACTATTGTACCCCTGGTGCCCAGTGCACAGAGGAGTGCTAATACAAGAGCCCACATTTGCAGAATCTGCAAATGTCCCCAGGGTAAAAGTGACATAAGTGCTCAGGTATGGAGCTTACCTCTCCATTTCCGATTTGTGTGTCCTGAACTTGACCCAGCAGGTCCTCGTTATCTTGTGAATTCTCTCATATTTTTAAGTTTTTGCTTGGCTTTCATGGGAAAGACTGATTTGAATAACTAGAAATAGTGCAGCATTTTTTAGGAATATTTTCATTGGACGTGTAAGATTACCAATATTTTAAATCAGTCTCCTAAGCGCTTGTTGGAGATCCTCAAGTCTGTCTTGATTAGGAACTGTTTTGTTTTGATAGCTCTGTGAGGAGAGTATGGCAATCATGGTAGCAAGCAATGCTTTGATGACATGGATTTTCTTCAGACGCCCTACAAATTTCATTTCCTCAAACTCCTTTACAGTAAAATGGAATATGATTTGGTTTTGCATTTAAAATTTGATCTTTTAGTCTAAAAATCTTCTTTCTCAAACTTACAGTAAATGTTTAAGTTTATTTTTTTGTTGTATTTCCAACTGATCACTGAAGAAGTGCAGAGTGACTTCAGGCTGGGTGTGAGTAGAATTTATGTGGAAAGTTGTCTTTGGTGGCTGACCTAGGACTTGACAGTTCACATCTCTTTGGCACATGAGCGCTGAGGTGATAATTTGTTCCTAATGATGCCCCTTAGTCTCATGGAATCCCTTCTGAATCACTGATGATCAAATATGTCCAGTTTAATGTCTCTGATAAGCTTATTTTACCATATTTTGGGGTTTTTTTTAAATGATGATGTATGAGTGTAGTTGACTGAAGGGAGTATACTTTTTAGTGACCATGATTAAAATTGGAGTTTTATTATTTAAAGGTCTTTGATTAAAGCAACTATACTGTGTGTGCCGTCTTATGTTTCCCAGAGTGTTTAACTCATTTAGTTCTTAACATGGTCATGAAGGGTTGCTATTGTCCCCATTACAAGGGTGAGAATACTGAGGCTTAAGTTGCAAGTAAGAGTTTAACTGCTAAACAAATATATAATCCCAAACTGTTGATTTAAGAGGTCAATAGCAATGCTGATCTTTTACATTATTGTTATGAATATTTCAGGCATACTGAAAACTGTATTATTAGACCATATTGAGCTATAGCAAGCTATGTCCAACACTGAGCTTTACTGGATCTAAATTGCTTGCCGTATTTGTTTCAGAATAAATTATTATGGACAAAATTGAAGGCTCCTGTATGACACTCCCTGATCCTTTTCCTCAATTTGTCTCAAGAGGGTTAACCACTATTCTGATTTTGGTGACTAGCTTTCTTAAGAATATATTTGTACTTTTAGTAAATATGATATATCCTTAAACCATATCAGATATTGTTTTTCCAGTCTTTAAACTATGAAGAAATATATAGTGTATTTTATATTGCTTTTTTAAAAATTCAACATCTCTTCTTTAGGGGATATTTAAGCAGATATGTCATATTCCATTGTATGACTACAAAACAAGTGGCATTAAGTGTATCGCCACAATTTATTTATTCCCTTTCTGGATGATGGGGAGTTTTATTTGTTTTCAGTCGTCTTTTGTTCCAGATAATAAACGATGTTTCTTCTTTTGTTAAATGCCTAGTAACACCATCACATTTTTTTCCATTGGATTCTTTGCCTTTCCTTGTTGATTTAGGGAAGTTAGTTATATGTCTTAGAGATTAGTCCATTATTAGTTGTATTCATGAAAAATATCTTCCAGTTAAAGCTTACTTGTTCACATTCCTTAAGGTGTCTTTCACTGTACAAAGGTTTTATCTGCAGGTGGTTGTGTTTATCATAGTTTTCCGTATATTACTGGTGCTGGTGCTTTCTTTCATGTTAAAAACAAACACATAAACAAAACTACTTTCCTACCAAAATCATAAAAATGTCCTCTATATTTTATTCTAAAAGTTTTAAAATTTTGGTTTTCATATTTGTCTTTAATCCTTTTTCTTTTTTTATGTTATGAGTATTTATTTTTTCAATGAAAATAACTGATTTTCTTAGTGCCACTAGTTGAATAGTCTACCCTGTCCATGATGAGTACATGGATTTGTAATTCCATTTCAATCATATATATGTAGATCTTTTTCTGGGATCTCTATTCTGTGTCTTCCATTGTCTCTTCCTGTATGAATATCATGCTGCATTAATTACTATAGAATTGTTGCAAATATTAGTATTTTGGAGGATAAGCTCACTTACCTAGTTCTTATTCAAATATTTCCTATCAAAGACACTTTGATCTTCCATATAAATATTAAGATTAGCTTCTTAAGTTACATACATACACACAAAACTCTGTTGAGATCTTCACTTAAATGATATCAACTTTATAGATGAATGTGAGATAATGGGTATTTTTCAATACTGAGTCTTCTTGTGGTGAACAGGTGTTTTTACATGTAATATAGGCAAATTTATCCACTTTTTTCTTTTTGTATCCTGTTTAAGAAATATTCACCTACTCTGAGTTCCTATGTTAGCTTCTCGAAGCTATATTCTTGTGCATTTCACAATCAATAACTCATCTAAGGTTGATTTTTAGAGCTTATTCAGGTAAGATTCACATACCATATAATCCATCATCCATTTAAAGTGTACAATTCAGTGTTTTTAGTATATTCATAAGGTTATGCAACCATCATCACAATATAATTTTAAAATATTCTGTCTCCCCCAAAAACCCCAGTACCCATGAGCAGTTATTCTCCATTCTACCCGCTCCTCCAACTTTGGGAAATGATTAATCTATATTCTGTATAATATGCCTACTATTACATTTCATATAAATGGAATCATATTATCTATGGTCTTTTGTTAATCATATTATATATGGTCTTTCACTTTGTATAATATTTTCAAGGTTCATCTGTGTTGTAGCGTGTGTCAATATTTAGATCCTTTTTAACGCTGAATAATATTACATTGCATGGATAACACCACATTTTATGTATTCATCAGGTGGACATTGCATCTTTTCCTGTTATGAATAAT